TCTGAATAAATCTACCTTTACTCAACTGGGACTCACTCTTGAATTCTTTCCTGTGTGAAGCCAAGGACCCACACTTGGCAGGGCATGTCCCAGGGGCTCAACCGACGCCTGGGACCCACCCCTCCTCACGCCCCACATCTGTGTTTCCTGCATCACATTGACCAAGCCAGCCCCTGCAGAAGGGGCATCTGTCTCTAATTCACAAAAAAGGCAGCCTGTAGGCTAGCAGAGGCTTCCTAAATCCCCACCTCAGTCTGGACATTGGCACCAGCTCTTTCCCTGCTTCCCCACTAATAAATTCTAACTCACTCTTCAAGGTCTCTCTGCCTCCAGGAAACCATCCCCAACATGCCCAGGCTGCCTGGGAGCTGCTCTCTAATGGCGCCAATGCTTTGTGCTTTCCCCGTATTAGCACATGCCTCCCTCTCTTCTGGCAGTGTTTATGTCTGAAGCTCTTCAGTGCCTGAGATCTGGTCTGATTCAGCTCAGGAACCACAGTGCCCAGACAAAACCCAATCCACAAGAGGCCAGGGGCCACCCCAGCGCCAATGGGAACAATGCCAAATAGGCAGCTTGAAGTTAATTAACATATTCAAACAGGAACTCCCCACCTTCCCTCCACCCAAAAACCTCTCCATCTCCTGCCTGCTAACTCCCTCCTTCCGGATGCTCAGGCCAAGAACCTTCTAGTCATTCTTGAGTCCTCACACCCCACCTCTCATCGGCCAGGAAATCTTGTTGGCGCCACCTTCAGAATCAGTTCCCCAAATCTCTTATCTGCCACTCCAGAAATAAACAGCAATCTTACAGCCGATGTTTGTTTTTTCTAAATCGGTGCTGTTATCCACCTGGTGGTCGTGATGGACGGCATCCCCCAAGTCTCCACACACCCTCCATCATCCGGGCCTCTGATGTCAATTGCTATTTTCTTGCTTTTTGTTTTGATTTTCTAGTTTGATTGCTCTCTGAAGATGTCATAAAATGCCAAAAATAGCCCCAAGGAGAGTGAAATGAAATGAACAGAAACATCTGTCACTTCCAAGAGCTCAGAAAGTAAAATCACATCAGGAAGAGGATCGAGGAGCGTCTGCTGGGACATCTCACTGAATAAGACCCTCGAGATGTGATGCGATGTAAACAGAAAGAGCGGTTGTGAAAGTTGTACTCTGACAGTGATACCAGGAACTGATGACAGGAAACTCTGCACTGAGCAAAACATGAAGATCTGAAGGTAACCGGATGCTCTTGCAGGCTTTTGGTCATGAAACAAGCTAGAATATTCCATGAAGACTGGAAAATTGATCATGAGCCTATGACTGGCAACATATGACTTAAAATACCTGAAGATCTGGGGTGGCAAAGCATCGGCCGGTCATCATTTATACTGATGGGTTTGCTAAGATATCAGAAGAAAACTCAGTGCTGCAAAAAATGTATACAGTGGATAAAATGGCTTCTGAGTGATGTTGTCCGCCTCCTAAAATGTTACCACAGCAATGAAAGAGGATAATGACAGGCTTGAAGGATGCCAGGCTTGGGGGGTCTGTTCTTGGGCGCACTGGAACCACAGACACACACACACACACACACACACACACAACACAATTGGTAGTGCCTGGAAAAAGCTGACATCTAAGGTGTTAGGAACATGTCTATGATTTTCCAGACCATTATTATGCAAACAAGAAATCATGACATCTCTACATTACGGCTTGTAACGATGCGAGTTGACACTCCATGAAGAGCAAGAATGACCACCAATACCACCCTTAAAAAAACCCCCAAAAAACTCCATACTGGCTGCAGGTCTTGGGAACCCGGGACCCAAGACTTTTTAGGGATGCCACCTTTGTAGCTTCGAATACTTGGGATGAGGTTGATACACCATCACAAACAAAGGCAAACACAGACTTAGGGCTCCGATGAAGCTTGAAAACAATGCTGCAGCTGAAAACAAAAGGACTGCCTTTACCCTAAGTCCGCAAGCAACCAGATTTGGTGTCGCTGATGAGAAGAGGATGAAGCTGAACTTTGTTCTTCTTGCCCAAGGTGATCAGGTACAAGCGGAACCTCCTACCGGACCCAGCAATGACTCACCCGGTGGGCACTGGTTCGAGGACAGAGAAATGCTGATGCCGTGTGAGATTCGGAAACGTGAGAGGGTGACAGCGATGCTAACGAGGCTGAGACACAGGGGGAAAACTCCCCACAGACGAAATGGTGAAACAGGCGACCAGTTCATTGCTGCCCTCCAACAGTAGGTATTTATCAGCAACCTAGAGAATCTAACCCGTTTACTCAATTAAAAGGACACTGCCCAGACAACATCCTTGGTTAAAGAGCAAATGACACAGCCAGAAACTCTACCAAGGCCACCTGCCTCATCCTCGGGGATCCCACCCCTGGCCCTGCTCCAAATGTCCACTCCAGCTTTATGATGTCATTGCTGCCCCAACCAATGACCCCAGTCTCCAGCGTCCTCAAGCCACCAGATGCCATGAGCATTCACTGCAGGTGAATATTTAGGTACTTGGTTTCCTTGGTACTTGGATGTGTGACATGATGTTTTACTAAATCTTTTCCTTAGAAATAAAAAACGCCTGATACTTACCATCTATTTTTAGTGCACTGACTCCTTCATGAAAGTAATTCATTGCTTTATTTTTAAAATAAACTTGACTTTTAAATGGAGATATTATTTACAGCCTTTATCCAATTTAGTATGCATATTCATACATTTTATTGGGGAAACATTCATGTGTCTGATGAACGGTGCTGCACCAGACACCACGGCTGCTTTTATTCGGTGTAGAGCATAGGCACCAAAGTACCAGTCTAGAATCTGCAAAATTTTGCATTTTGAATGACATCTGGTTCCAAGGGTTTTGGATAAGGTTTGAAAACCAAGATATCTAGAACCTGACTCCCTCTAGACATCTCCTCTTCTTGGAACCTGGTGCAAACAACTGTTACCTCGCGCCTGGACTCTCCCAGTGGCCCTTTCACTGCTTCCCGGCCTCCGCCCTTGTCCACACACACTGTTCTCCATGTGGCCACCAGAGGCCACCAGTTCCCACTTACAGCAACGTCCCTGTGCTCAGAACCCTCCACGGTTCCTGTTCAAGCAGTGTCAAAGCTAAGTCCTCATCTTGGACCACAGCCCCAGCACTATCTGCCCCCATTTCCCCTCTGTCCTCATCAGCACCGGTCTCCTCCTCTCTCGGTTACTCTGTTCCAGCCGCACTAGCTTTCTAGTTACTTTCTCCAACAAGCCAGACTCACTTCTGCCTCGGAATCTTTGCAAACGTTGTTCCCTTTGCCTCTAACACTCTTCTGCCAGATATCCCCAAGGCTCCCTCCCTCACCTCCTCTGTGGTGGTCAAGATGGACCTGAGGAGGCGGGATGGACTGCCTACCTTGGTTCCTGGCTGTGGGGAAGGGGGGCGGCGACCCTCAGGGCTGGAAGCCCGGGAGACCCTTGGAGATCCAAGACCTGGAAGAGCAGAACAGGACCTGTGAGGACAGCGAACGCCGAGAAAATCCCGCCCGACCCCGTATACTCACCTGAGCGAGGACTGACGAGCTCTCTGTCGCCTCCTGGGGGCCGCCCCCAGTCAGCCTCGGGGGATCGAGGTGAGCTCAGTTCTAAGGACTCAGGCAGGCTCTGGAGGAGTCGGGAAAGGAAAATCATCATGATGATTACCATTTCTCAAGCATATAGCAGCTGAGACACAGCATAAGTAGGATTAAGACTGAAAACCAGAAGCTAGACCTAGTTTTCAACCCTCAGCTCTGCATTTTTTTTTTGGCTGTGTGACCTTGGGCAAGTTACTTTACCTCTCTGGACTGTATGTCACCTTTTGATATGAAGATTAATCCATGCATATAAGGCATTTAGAACAGTGCCTAGCACATGGCAAGGCATTATAAGTCTGAGGTTCCATAATGATTAAGCATCTGGCATGGTAGGTACTAAGTACTTTATCAGCATTATCTCATTGAATCCCCTCAGTAAATCTACAAGACAGCTATTATTATCCCTTTTTTATATGTAGGGAAACTAAGGCTCAGAGAATGAGGACAAAGACTAATGTCACAAAGATAGCAGAGCTGAGATATAAACTGAAGTCTCCCGGATACATGATCTGATGGTCAGGACCAGCGGCAGCTCTACCTGGTTATGGTCATAGTGGCTCCCGCTTCCTGATGGCTTACTCTATATTAGGCATTTTCTAGTCACAATTTGTCCTTCTTACAGAACCCTGCAAGATAGGGGTTAAGATTAGCAGTGTCTGGTAAATGTTTAACAATGGCCTCTCTGGTAGGAAACAGCCCTAGTTTGCAGCGTTTGCCAATTTCTGCAGTTTAAATACCCTCACTGTGATCTGTTTCAAGCTACCAACTGAATGTGACATTGAGAAAAGATGCAGGCGATTGGATCTTGGGAGGTCTTGGGATCTGGCTCCAGCACACCAGTAGACCACACCATAGTACGAGAAATAAGAAAACAAAGGCTTCCAGAGCTTAGGAGACTTGCCTGAGGTTGGTTAGCTGATCCAGGGAAAGAGAAACAGGTGAATGGGTGATAAGCTGGGTCAGGGGCAGATAGGACAGGAAGCTGGGGATGGGGAAAGATGTGTGTGAGTCTCACCTCCCTCTCTGAGGACTCCTCGCCTTGGAGTGCAGGGGATGGGGAGTCAGGCTCAGTGTGGGGAGGTGGTTTCTGGGGGCCTCCCAGACCTGCCATTGTGTCTTCCACCATCCACAGCTGCTGCTGAGCAGATACTCTGTCCTGGGGAGAGGAAAGGAATTCGTTACTCAAAGGTGGGAAGATGTAAGGAGGGTTCAAGTTGATAAACCATGGAAAGGGTCTGAAATCAGTTGGGCTTATGGAGTCATAAATGGACTGTGTACATATGGGGGCTATATTTGTGGATATCCATTTCCATATGGATATCCCACTAACTGCACCATTTATCATGAACACTGTTTTTCCTATACTGCTCTGCAGTGTTACCTCTACTATAAATGGGTGACCATATAAATATATGTGAGTCTGTTTCTGAATACCCTAGTCTATTCCTTTGGTCCATTTGTCTAAGCTTAATACTACATTGTCTTCTTATTAACTGTAGCCTTATACTCAGACTTGACATCTAGTTTGTGTTACTCCTCCAGCTTGGTTCTTGGAGGCTCCCTTGGCTACTCTTGGCCTTTTGCACTTCCAGATAGAATTTTGAGTCAGCTTGTCAATTTCTACAAAAACCAAAAAAACCTTCTTTTACTGGGATTTTTATATTTATACTGGGATTGAAGAGCTCCACTGGAGAAATCAATTTGGGGAGACCATATCTTTACATTAGTGTATCTTTCCTATCCACGAACATGGTATATCTCTCCATTTATGTAGGTCTTCTTTAATTTCTCTCAACGTGGCTTTCAGCATTGATGTCTTTCGTATCTTTCATTAGATTTCTTCCTAGATATTTAGTTTATGTTAATTACAAACACTAGTGTTTATAAATATATATTTTTCTAATTGTTTGGTACTATCATTCAGGAAGACAATTGATTTTTGCATATCATCCTTGCATTCAGTTACCTTGCTGGATTTGCTTATTCTAACAGTTTATCTGGACATTATTTTGGATTTTCTACACACATATCTTTCTGTCATCTGTAAATAAAAACAGCTTTACTTCTTCCTTTTCAGTCCTTATACCTTTGATTTATTTCTCATACTGACTTGTACTATCTAGGATTCCTGGTACAATGTTGACTGGAACTGGCAATAGCGGACATCCTTGTCTTATTCCAAATGTTGGGGGAAAGTTTTCAATATTTCACTGCCAATAATAATGTTTGCAGTAGATTTGTTATAGATGCCTTATCAGATTAAGGAAGTTTCTTTTTATTCCTACTTTGCTGAGAGCATTTATCATGAATGGATGTTAAATTTGTTTAATGTTTTTCTTGCATTTATTGAGATGATCATGTGGTTTTTCTCCTTTATTTTATTAAATGTGGTGAAGTACATGGGCCTATTTTCAAGTGTTAAATTAATCTTTCAGTCCTGTAATAAACATAATTTGGTTTGTGATGCATTGTTCTTTTCATATATTGCTGGTACTGAGTAATATTTAACATCAATAGGTGGGTATTAGAGTTGAGGGGTGGATTTTAGGAAGAAGTGGGAGACGTTTGGCATGAAGAGGGTGGGATTTAAATCTTGAGTATGCATTTAATAATAGAAGCCAGAGTTTTTAACTAAAGATATATGATTTAGAAATTCTATTGGTAGGCTCAGAACGAAGAAGGGGGTCTGAGGCTAAGCAATGGGACTTATACCTTAGGAGTGGGGCTTGAAGTAAGAGATTGGATTTAGAACTGGAGACTCCAGAAGATAAATTTAACAGCAAAAGTCAGGATGCAGAATGCAAGAGATGAACTGGCAGGATGGGACAGGGATGAGGGGTGGAGTTTTGACACTGAGGGCATGGCTTCGAAACAAGAGGAGAGATTTAGAACCAGAGGGTAGAGTTATTCTGAATCTGAAGATAGGTCTTGAAGGGCATGGTCTTAACTACAATAAAAGGTTTAAAGTGAAAGGAAAAGACAGAGGGGGAGGCGCTTAAAATAAAATGGGTGGGGCTTGGTGCTGTGGGCGAGGCTTAAATGCCAAAAGGTTTCCAAGTGAACTTAGAGAGGAGGGTGGAGCTTGGGAGCTTGGGGCAGGGATGTACCTGGGGGGACCCAAGGTGCAGCAGGTACTCAAGGGTCTCTCTTAAGGTGCCCAGCTCCTGCTCCAGGCCGCTGTACATGTCCCAAACCCGCTCTCTCTCCTCAGGTCCCAGAAAGAGGGAGACACAAGGTTAGCATGCCCACCCCCCAGATCTTTCCCCATTTCATCCTACCACCTGAGCAAGAGGAAGGGTGGCCTGGCCCCCGGTGCCTTGGGGCCAGGGGGCTACAATTCCTAACGGAATTGAATGGACTACAATTCCCAAGGGCCTCTTTGCTCAGACTACTGGGAAACCCAGAGTTTGTATAGACCCTGTCATTCCAATGAACTTCTAGTATAGACAAATAACATCTTTCCCTGAGTCCTCTGGATTACCTCTGCACTTACCATGTGCCAGGTACTGTTCTTAGCTCTCTAATTTTTCTGAAGTAGGTACTATTAATGTCTCCATTTTACAGATAATAATTACAGCTAACACTTAAGTATGCTTACCATATACTAGGCACGTAAGTGTTAAATATTTATTCATTTATTGACATATATTTATGAAATTTCACAATGACTCTATGAAGTCAATATTATTTTTATCATCTCAAGTTTATGTGTCATCTAAGGCCCAGAGGGGTTAAGTAACTTTTCCAAGGACACACAGCAACTATAAGTGGGAGCTGAGATTAAAAGCCAGGCTATATTAAATATTGTTGTTGCTTGTCTGCTTGCCCCTCACCCTCTAGGACAAGATCATTGGTTTAAAATTTGGGAGGGAGGGATTCTCAAGAACTACCTTCCCATGAGCCTTTGAGGGCAGGTTCACTTTAGTAACAACCTGTAGAGTCCTGGAGTCCCTTGGGAGGCATGGCCCTTCCTAGATGCTCACCTGGGTCAGGTGACAAAGAGTGGCCCTCACACTGACTAATCGGTCCTGCAGGAGGCGCTGGCGCCCCCAGGCCCTTCCAGGAGCTGCAGCTTCCCTGGTTGTTTGGCCCATCTGCTGTCGGGTCAATTCCAGGGCTGCTTCTAGTTGCTCCTGCATGGAGAAGGAAGGTGGTTAGACTTCTGAAACCACACCGAGCCACAGGAAGAGAAGGTATCCTTCCGTATCCAGGCATGCTGGGGATCAGGATGGGCTAAGGGTAGGTGGAGAGGCCAGGTGTCCCTCCCCTGTCCTAGAGCCCTGTACCTTCTCCTCCTGCCTCCTGTCTATCTCCTCCTGCAGCCTTCTCAGGAGCCGGTCCTGCCCACACAACTTGGTCAACAAAGTCTGGAGAAAGGGGAATAGGAGCTATTTATGGACCAGATCTGGCTCTTCCCCTTGTCCACTCCCCCATCTCAAACTTTCCCTTCTCAACTCTGAGAACTTAGCAAAGGTTTGATCAAGGAGAACTTACATCTGTCTCCAAGCTTTGGTGGAAGGTTGAGTCTAGTGGGGGACCCGGCTGAGGAGAAAGAGAAAATTGGGGGTCATATGCCCAAACAGGTCCTATTGTAGCTCAGTGCTAAGATGAGCCCTGTTTCCACTGAGAGACACCCCTGTCCCTGTTAGCTCTGCTCCAAGCTTTAGCAAACCTCAGTAGACCAATTGCCAGATTCTTGGCTTTAGGAAGATCCAATGGGCTCTGCTACCAAATAGCTTATAGCAAATACTATAATTCATAGAGAAAATTTAGACATTTCCTTTTTGACTGAGAATAAAACAAGGACACTCACTACCACTGTTACAGTATTAGAGATCTTGACCAGTGCTATAAGATAAGACAAAGGAAACAAAAACTGTAAAGATAGGAAGGGGAATGACAAAACCACCATTGTTTATAGATGAGGTGCTCATCTACCCAGAAAAACCAACAGAATCAAAGAGTATTTAGAACAAATAAGAGAATTGAGGTGCAAAATGAAGCTACAAACTTCATAAATGGCATATATCTACATCATCAATAACTAGAAAATAAACAAATTTATTTTTAAATATAAAAAAGAAGAAAAAATATATCATTCAAATAACTATAAAAATGATCAGGAATTTAGGAGTCACCTTAACTAATAGCACACAAAATCTCTATGGAAAAACTTTAAAACACAAAGACCTAGAAGATTATATGAACAAATGGAGAGATATTCTATATATATGCCACCCAGGTTTCAACAGCCCTAGAAAACTTAATATAAGCACCTATCCAGGCACCTTGACATACCCTGTCTCCTCTAGGCACACTAGTCCAGGAGATGACATTCACCATAGCAAAGAAAGCAAGGGAGGAGGCTATCGCAGATTCAAGGTGCCCCAGGATACCTACCAGTAAAACCATGGAAGCCCCGGTCCCAGGAGGTCTCGGGGGGAGCTGGAGATATGTGGAGGAACTAGAGGGGGCCTGGAAAGAATATTGATATAGAGATGTTGAGAAATTAGAATGTGTGTGTCCAGAATTGAAGTGCCTTAGAAGATTCTTTGAGGTTCAGAACTGGGGCCCCAAAACTGCCTCAACTGCCTGCTCTCCAGCTGTGTGACACTGTAGGGATACAGAGGATGATAATAAATGGACAAGCCTGGCAAAACTGTCCCAGGAACTGATGAAAGTTGCACTTTACTCTCACTCTCATATTTGAGGTTAGTTATGGATTTTCTGGGCTACAATCCCGTGATGCTGAGAGAAAACAGCAGATGACCAACTTGGAAAGATAAAACTGAAGACACAAGCAGATGCAATCCACACTACCTTTCACAGTATTGTCTTAGAGAAGAGTATTCTGGACTACAATCTCCATAATGCTTAAGGGGTCATGGCCAAAGACCAGCCTGAAAACAGCCCTGAGAACTGATGGAAGATAAAGTTCACTCTCCCTTTCACACCTGAACCCAGCTGTGATTATGCTGAACTACAATCCCCAAGATGCTCAAGGAGTAATGGCCTAGAGACCAGCCTGGAAAGACAGCCCCATGGCTATAAGGGAGATGAGGTCTCCTACCCTGTTGCCTCAGCTCACCGGTATTCTGGTCTCCTGACTCCAGTGCTGGGGACTTCTGGGGGGCTTTCCTCCTCCAGCTTCGGAGGAGAGTCCTCGGCGGGGAGTAGGGGGCCTGGAAAGGGTCTGGCGCTGGGGACCCCAATCCAGGGGAGGCCGGACATCGATGCGACTCAGTGGGGTATGCGGTCTGGCAGAAGGTGCTGTATCTCCAGAGGAGGGAGGGGGTCTCCGTGCAGGAGCAGAACGGGGCCGGGGGAGGCTCAGAGGGGAGGGAGGGCGAGAGAGGGGTGTAAACAGACTGTAGGGAGGAGAAAACAGGTGAACTGGGTCAACTAGAGCCCCCTCACCCCGCTAGCCATCAAGCTAGTCTCCAAGATGTATCTCCCTTCAGTGTGTCTCACTGTCCCTCTGGAGTAGAACCCTCCTCTATTAGCCAGATTCTAAAAAACTTCCGCCTTCGTGGCGTCCCCTTCTTAGGCCTTCTCCCAGACAGGCTCTGGCCCCACAAGAACCCCAGCAAGTCACCTACACATACACATACCCACGAGAAAGCACTTGCCTCCAATCAGTCACAGCCCCGCCCTTCTCTTAGGCCACGCCTCCAACTATTTTCCTCTGGAGCTCAGCCCTATAGAACTTTTTGGTCCCAGACTCCCTCATCCAACTCACTCTGGGCTCCTCGTCCTCCGAATCCGGGGTCCAAACTGCAGGTCGGCCGTGGGGCTGGGTGCGAGCAGCCCGGGTCGGCCACGACCCCTGGAAAGCCGAGCCACCTCTGGCGATTCTGAGCCTCGGCCCTCTTCCCCTCTGCTCACCTCTGGGGGACCACCAGGGCCGCAAGGGCCCTCCCCAGGCTGGGGACTTGCAGGTGACCTGGGTTGCCCACTAATGAATGGGCATGGAAAAAGACATCACTCCTTTGACCCTTATAACAGCCCTTATTCCCATTTCACAGATAAGGACCCAGGGACCTACAAAGAAAACAAAGGAGGTGGTGTACTATAAATCACTGTCCCTATTTGTAGATGGGGAAACTAAGCCCCGAGTGCGGAAGTGACTTGCGCAGGGCCACAAGGCCCATCCAGGTCGCTGGGCCGAATGCCCCTGACTACGCGTCGAAAACTGGGACAGGCAGAGAAAACCTGGAGGCTTTCTCTTTTTTTGAATCTGATATTGTTTAGAAGGCAGCTGCAGAGGGTGGAGACCTCTGAGCAAGTCAGAGAGTGAGAAATATTGATGGACAAAATGGTGGGCGGAGCTTACAAGAGAAAGCCTTTTTGCTGATTGGAAGAGTTGGAGTTCCCTGGAGGTGTGGCCTGAAGGGCGGGGGTCTCCTTAGCCAGAAGACTTGTGATTGGACATTGAAGGGGGCAGGGCCTCAGGGGGAGGAGTTTGGGATGATGAGCCAGACCCAGATTGGAGGTACAGGGTGAGGGCGTGGCCTTTACGTATACTCACCAATCGTCGCCCTCCGCGCGGGAGGCCCGGCCCAGCGCCCGTAGCCAGCCCCGCAGGTCCTCTAGTGTGTCAGCCGCCAGAACGTAGGTCCTCATGCCTGGGTGCTCCGCCTGTGGGAGGAGAGAGCTGGAGGACCTGGACGCTTGGGCCCTTTAAAAAGGAGGTTGCCATGCACCTTAGTCAAGGTCTCTTATCTCCAATAATGGATGCTCTATGTCTGCTCCTAGGCCTAGTTCCTTAGTACCCTTGGGGGATGGACGAACTCACTGTGAAAGTGAAGCGCCGTCCTCGGGGGGCTCCTGGCCCATCTGGCCTGATACTGTAGCTGGGGAGCAGGACGCTTCCTAGGACACTCTCCTCGCGGCTGTCTGCAAAAGAAGAGCTGGGGTCAGGGATCACAAGGATCTGGAGGCTGAGAAGCTAAAGAAAAGGGAGGGTGACGGGGGGGGGGCTGCCCACCCCATGCCAGCTGGGGCACTGACCCTTGTAATAGAAGAGGCAATGGCCAGAGAGGACAAACCAGCGGCGTTTCCAGAGCCGGAGCCCGGAGCTGTCCTGGGGGGAGAGAGTGGGAGCAGAGGGCTGAGTAGAGCCAGCAGGTAAAAAAGAGATGGAGACAGTGACACTTGGGGGCAAAGATCCAGAGAAAGGAGAGAAGCAGAGATACATGTTTGATGCAACAGATTCAGATGGAGAGTGGGAAACATGTGGGTTACAGTTGACGGGACACAGAATCTGGACACAGTCAGACCTGAGTTTGACTCCTGGCTCCACCATTTTCAAACTCTGCACTTAAGCAAGTCATTTCCCCACTAGGAACCTAATGTTTTCTCATCTATCATTGAGGATTGAGAAGTTACAGGAAGTTTGGGACAGATACTATACCACTCATGGCAGGGGCTTTATATAGGAAGACTTCGTCCAATTATTATGGTGTGTGAGACCCAGAGAGGCTGGGAACGTGATGCTGAGCCACAACCTGAATCCTGTATCTCTCCATCTCCTCTGCCAGAACTACTCAATCGCCAGCCTTGTGCCCCTCTTCTCCTCTTCCATCCATTCGCACAAAAGCAGCATGATCGTTTAAAATTATAAATCAGATCATGTGAGTATAGGAGGTAATTAGGTTTGTTTATTTATTAATTTTTAATTCTTATTTTTTATTGAAGTGTAGTCGATTTACACTGTTAGTTTCATGTGTACATCAAAGTGACTCAGTTATACTACACATATATATTTTTTCAGATTCTTTTCCATTACAGCTCATTACAAGAAACTGAGTATAGTTCCTTGTGCTATACAGTAGATCCTTGTTGTTTATCTATTTTCTACATAGTAATCTGTATCTATTAATCCCGAACTCCTAATCTATCCCTCCTCCTCTCTTTACACCCCCGACAACCACAGTTTGTTTTCTATATCTGTGAGTCTATTTCTGCTATGTAAATTTTATTTTTTATTTTTAATGGAGGTACTGGGAATTGAAGCCAGGATCGCATGCATGCTAAGCACATGCTCTACCACTGAGCTATACCCTCTCCCCACAATGGGCTCCTTCTTGACCTAGAGTTTTCAGCTCAAATGTCATCTCAGAGATGACTTCCCTGACCAACAGTCAAATGTAGCTCTCATCTCTCAACCACTTTCCAGCACATCTCTCTGTATTATTTCTTCACAGAGCTTCATTTGCTACCATCTGAAATCGAGTCCACTTGATATATACGAATTTATTATTCATCCCTGCCCTGCCCCCATCTTGCATGTACTATAGATACTTGATTGTCTTATTTGCATGACGTGCTCCAGGGCTTGGCACATTGTAAATATTCAAGAAGTGATCATTGAATGAATGAATGAATGAATGAATGAATGAAACAATGACAGAATAAGGGAAGAAGCAGTAATAGAAAAAAAGACTTGGAGACTTGGAAGGAGAAAAACAGCAGAGAGCCAGGGGCACAGCCTCCAGCATCACTTGGAATGTCCTTTCCCTTCTTCCACTTGCTCTACCTGCTTATGAAGCCATCCTCGGATGTGCACAGGGAGGTTGGGATCCCTTCTGAGTGCATTGCTTCTCTTCCCAAAGGCATGCACCTTGCTTACTGCCCGGGTGGACTTCTGAGGAGAGAAGGAGGAAGGAAGTGAACAGGGCCTTGGGATGGGCTTGGAAAGCTGGTGCAGTTGGACCCAGGCAACCCGAGGCTCAGCTGCCTTCAGAAATCAGGCCAAGGAGGAAGCTGAGTTTGGGGATCAGAAGGACCTGTGAGTACTGCAGAGTGGAGAGATACTTTTCATGGGTGGAAGGAGCTGTTTGGAGGCAAGGCAGAGGCTACTGGCCAATCGGGAAGGAATCTGGGAATCAAGGATCCACTGCCAAGGAAAGGATGTCCTTGGCCACCAGAGCCAAAGACGTAGTAGAACTTTTGGGATCTGAACTGGCAATACTGCCTGGGAGGTCCCCATAATCAGGAGGGACCTCCATGCTGAGTCCTTGGTGAAGGGCCAGCTGGAATCAAAGGACACCCCAGCACCAGGGAATGACATCCCGTAGTGACCATGTCGAGGGTGGTGGGGGGAGCTCCAAATCCCTCCATCCCAATAGATGGAGCCCCCTCCCTGGTCCACACAGATATATCAGCCTGATTCTCACAGGATGCCTTTCCTTGGCAATGGCGCTGCCCCAGGTTGGGATCAGATCTATGGATTCTGAACTTGGGAAGCTAGACATGAGTGAAGGGAATGGCCAGAGGACAAGGAAATGAGTGTCATCACTGAACTTTGGACCAGGGTGATGATTTGGGACCCAAGTATCTCTGGCTTCATGGGGCCTGATTGTTGGAGAAGGAGCTTTCCTGGTCAGATTTCAGAACTGGGTAGATTGGAGGGCTAGAAATAGGACACGAATTCTCAGTCCTAAGAAGAATAGCCACTGCTTCTGAGTTCCTGTATGGGGAGAGGGGAGGGCTTGGCTGGGGAGTGGCCTTATGTTAGCAACCAGAGTCAAGTGGGGTTGTTACTCTGGCTTCAAATTAGGAAAATACGAGGGGTGGAGACAGCTGGGAGTGCCTTGGAATTCCTAGCTGTGGCTGGTGGGCAATTTGGGACCTCTCTAGGGCTGACAGACCCAGTTTGCTAAAGATCTTTGCTCTTAACAACCGGAGTCCCTAGGAAGGCACCTAAACCACGGCTTGGATACAGGAGATAGGGGAGCCCAGAGTCCCCCACCTCCTCCCCAGCCCCACCAAGAAGCTCGAACCTTGGTACTCAGGCTGCCAAGCGAGGAGATGGTGGAAGCGCTGCTGGCCAGGCTGAGGCTGCTCCGAGGTCTGCCCTCCTCCATCAAGGGCTTGGGGAGAGAAAGAAAGGGGCTGTGTGCGTCACTCTGCAGATGACCCAGCTGGGGACAGAGACAGGGTCAGGGGCTTGCAGGTCAGAGGAGGCAGAGGAGAAAGAGCCTGTTGTTTGGGGCTTGGGGGGCTGGGGGAGGCCCTGGCCCCGGATCGCATACCAAGAGTGATGCCAAGAGAGGTGGGCGGCAGTGGCAGCTGTGGGGAGGGGGCAGCTGTCTGCAGCCTGGGATCGAGAATAGGGGCTTCTTTATTCTTGCCCCCTACACTCTGGTCAGGAATTTGACCTTCTCTGTGCTCGGGACCCCCTTAACCCCTGCCTCTTTCTGGCTGCCCCCAGCTACCTGTCTCCTGCTGTCCCACAGACACCCCCAAACCATCCCTGCCAAGCCCTGGGACACCAGGAATGTGCACCCAAGCGGCCCCTCCCCCCAGCCAGGGAACTTACCAGCTCCGGGGTCCCAAGGACAGAGGGCAAAAGAGGGCAGGGTGGGTGCTGGGACACCCAGCCACAGTCTCCCTCCTCCTCTGTCTCTTAGGTGCTGCCTCTCCTCGTCCCCAGTTCTCACCTGCTCATTCACACCCTTTTTGTCTCTTTGTCTCTGATGATGTCTTCTTCCTCTCACACTTTCTCTTTTATATTGTCTCTCTCCACTCTCTCCTGTCTCTCTTTCTCTCTAATCTCTGTCTCTTCCAGGCTCTCCCTTACTTGTTCTCATCCCCACCCCCATATCACTTTCTCTTCCAATCTTTCTGTTTGCATCCAAATCTTTCTCTGACACAGAGTCTCTTCTTTTAAGTCTCCGTCCCGTTCTCTCTCTCTCTCCCCCCTCGTCTCTGTCTTGCTGTGTCTCTCTCTCCCTCACATTCAGTCTCCTCTCTCTTTCTCTCTCTCTCTCGCTCTCTCTCTCGCTCTCGCTCTCGCTTTCTCTCTCTGTATGGCCCTCTACATCAGCTGTTTCCTCCTCTCTCTGATTCTCCCTCTCATTTTCTCTCTTCCTCCCTCTCCCAGTTTCTCTTTCCTCTCTGCTGGACTTTCCCTCCCTCTGCCAGCCGCCCACGCGCCGCTGTCTCCCCTCCCAATCCCGGCTGACCCCGCCCCTCTTGGCCTCCCCACTGCAGCCTGACCTCTTGCTCAGTTGCCCCCACAGTTGATGGGAGGGGCTGGGTCCACCGCACTGCTCCCCTCACCCAGATCCCTGCTGGGCTGGGACCCCATAAGTGGCTGAAGCTGTGATTCCTAAATGTTTGGAAATTAGGAGCTGGGGCCTGGACTCCAGGGCTTCAGTAGGCTGGGTCATTGGTAGCCCCTAATGGAGATAGCTAGGATCTTGGAAGGTGTGGGAGCTCAGAATCCTGGGTGCCTGGGAAGGCGTGGGCTATGAGTCAGGACTTCCAGCGTTGTGAATGAAGCCAGGGGTCTGGAAGTGTGGCTTTAAGTGGATGAGTCCAAGTCCTCCAGCAAGGAAGGAGTGGCACCAGATTCCCCAGTTCTGCAAAAGCAGTGTCAAGTGGCCAGTGTCAACCTCCACCTCAGACCCAGGTGAGAATTCTGTTCTAGACTAAGGATGAGAGGGAGACATTGTTCCTGGGAGTATTTTGAGGAAAAAGGTTATGGACCAGGTCAGGCATGGGAGGCGTCAGAGAACTGGGTCTGTGTCCCTGGACCTGGAATTTGTGGCAGGAGACCCTCCACTGCCATGAGGTTCAGTTGATGCTACCCAGCCAGAATTTCAGATTGTGTAGCAGAAGTTTTGTATAAATTTGAAGCAGGTGTTATATAAAATAGATAAACAACAAGGACCTACTGTATAGCACAGGGAGCTATATTCAATATTTCATTATAACCTATAATGGAAAAGAATCTGAAAGAAAATATTTGTATATACATGTATAACTGAATCACTTCGCTGTACACCTGAAACTAACACAACATAGTAAACGAACTATACTTCCATTTTAAAAATGGTTTAAAACATTGAAGCAAGTGAAACCCAGGAGTGGAGCCTTGTGACTGAGACAGGGCAGGGGTCTGAGTATTTGGTTTAGTATCCTCACATCTCATATTTGTTGAGCACCTACTATGTGCCAGGCACTGAGAAGAAAGCAGTGAGCAAAGTAACGTGCCTACCTACAGGGGGCTTTCACGTTCTCATTCTCTTTTGCAACGAACCTAGACTCTTCTTGTGACCATCTTGAGCAAGTGATTTCATTCTCAAGCCTCAGTTTCTCCGTCTGTGAAGTGGAAACATTAATGCTCTCCCACACTGGATAGAAGACAGCCGGGATGGGAAGGTGGGAGACCCTAAACTGCGTCCTGCTGGTTAGATTAAGGGGAAAGGGCATTTGCCTGGAGCAGGGGTGGAGCCAGCTCCCTCACTGTTCAATTGGTTCACGAGTTTGATTGACAGCTCGCTTGCTTCGGGGCGTGGCCACATTCGGAAACGCCGTCGTGACATCACAAAGCCCGGAATCTCCGCGAGAAGTCCAACCTTATTTTCTGTTCCGTCTCTCACGTCTACGTTTCCAAACCTCCCGCGTCACGTCAGCACGTCCGGCTGCGCTGGCCTATAAAAGCCGTGCAGGCGGCGTCAGCGTTGACTTGATCCGGTTCTTACAGGTTTGTTTGTGTTTGTCTCCCTGCACGACTCTGCGCCTGTTTGTCGCGACAGCGCTTGCAGCAGCCGGTAACAACTTGAGTCCCCGAGCCAGGCGCCGGAGGGCGAGATGAACACGCTGGCCTCCCGAACCTTCTGGACCTGCGATCGCGTGTGGCAGCCCCAGCCGGTACTCCTGCCCCCAGGGTGACGCATAGTACCCAGCCGGTGAGTGGCGGCGTTGGAACGCCTAAGTCCCCAGGGGTTTGGGAGCTGGAGATCAGACTCTTGGTCACTAATGAGAAAGGAGCTCAAACCTTTGGGTTCCGAGATAGAAGGGCTCGGGGCCTGGACTCCTGGGTCCTACGGAGGGCCTGGGAACCTGAACGCCTGTGTTTGGAGGGGTGGGACGAGGACGGACCTCAGGGATCGGATTTAGGAAGGAGAGGGAATTAGGAGCTTGGAGTCCTGAGCCGGACAGAGTAGTCTGGGAGCCAGACTCTCGGGTCCCAAATGAAGGAGCAATCTAGGAATCGGAACTTTTGTGTCTCCGAGGGAGGCGGGTGATGGGGGCCTGATTTGTCAATCCTCAGGAGGATGAGAAGCAGGGACTAAGGACTGTCCCCAAGGAAAGCAAGTAGAAGACTTGTCTTCTTGCTTCTTGGGACTAGAAGTCTGAGAGGAGATGGGGCTGGGGGCTTTGGGGCTAAGCAAGGAGAGAAGGGGGACCTAGATTCCTGGGTATTCAGAGATGAGGCAGGAAACAAAGGAACAAGATGGGAGTGGCTGGGATCCGAAAGGAATTTGGGGCAGGGACGCCCTCTCTCCTGTTGCTATTTGTGTTACTATTTCCGTTGCTATGACTCAGAGTCATTCATCCTCAGAGTCTTTCATCCTCTGATGTGATATCCTAAATGGCTTCTAATCTTTATTCCTTTTGTTTCTCCCTTTCTCCCAGCCCAGACAGATGGCCCCAGGCCAAGTGCCCCATCAGTCTGCCCCCTGGAAGGATACCCACCCCTTCTTCCTCCTGTCCCCACTGATGGGCCTCCTCAGCCGGGCCTGGAGCCGTCTGAGAAGCCCAGGACCTCCAGAGCCCTGGCTGGCAGCACCAGTAACAGGAGCAGATCAGGGAGAGGCTAAGGCTTCTCTGACCACCCACCACGCTCCCTGGAGCAGGTGCCCTCCAGGGGAGACTGGAGACAGCGGAGCAGCTGAGAGTGATGGAGCAGCATCGTGGGGGGCCTGCCCTGACCTGAAAGCCAAGTGTTCTCTTCTCGAAGCCTGGAGACTTTCAGGTGATGATGATGAAGAGAATGGCAGAGAAGAAGCAACCAGAGTCCCTAGCAAGCTGGGAAGTGAATTTATAGAGGGCCAGCCTGCTCCCCTGGCCTCCAGCCTTCGGATAAGATCCCTGCAGGACCCTCCTGGGGAGGAGAAATCTGAGGAAGGAGGAGTTACTAAAGATAAAGAAGAGATCATGTTCCCTTTTCTCCTATCAGGCTGGGAGTACTGTCCAGGCTCGGAGTTAGAGGAGGAGGGGGGTGGAGCTGTAAATAAAGAAGCTCCGAGAACATCTACGTCCCCCTTAGCTCCAGGATCCACGCCCAGAGCTTGGGTGTGCTGCCTTCCAGTGGAGGAAGGGGATGAAGCCACAGTGGAAGAAAGAACAGAGGATAAAGCAGCCACGAAGACCTCTACTGCCCCCTCATCTGTAGGCTCCCACCCCAGGGCCTGGGAAGGTTGTTCAGGGGAGGAGCCTGAGGAGGAGGCGGACAACAAGGCTGAGACCAGAGCAGCTGACCCAGAGCCACACTCAGTTCTAGCCCAGAGGCCCCTGCTCAGGACTTGGCAGCATCAATCCAGTGAGATCACAGAGGAAGATGAAGAGGAGGAT